TGCGCATTTTCATTTTGTTTCTGCTTTTTCTTTTGCGTGTGTTTTTTTAACTTGCTGCGCATTTTCATTTTGTTTCTGCTTTTTCTTTTGCGTGTGTTTTTTTAATTTGCTGCGCATTTTCATTTTGTTTCTGCTTTTTCTTTTGTGTGTGTTTTGTCTCTAGGGGCCACCGTACGCCCCCCCCCTTTGAAGGTCAAGTTAATTTTATTTTCTAAATAGCGCCAGATCACAACAGAAGGCATTTAAAGTTACCTTTCCTATAGAACAGATCTATACATTGTCCTTTTATTAAACAAACTAAATAGCCTTATGTTATTTGTCTTACTTACACAACAGCTTGACGTTTTTGTCTCTACACGGTCACGCGTTTACAATTCTCCTCTGCTCTCTGTATCGCGCATGGCGGAGTTCCACCCCGATGCGCGCGCGCACACAGGTGAGCACACTCCCACAGGCGGACAGAGAGCGCGCGTCGGAAAAAATGTCGCGTGAACCACCTGAAAAGCAGACAAAAATATCTGTTTTTTTAAACGCTCCCAGGTTGGTGAAGATGGCAACACTCGCCCTCTAATTGTCGTAAAAAGAAAAGTTCAGTTGTTATATTGACTGCTGTCATTAAAAGAATCACATGAACACCATGAATCATATCAGTGTCCGTCTGCCCCCCCCCCAAAAAAAAGCTGTAAACCTAGGGGAAACACTGGAGTCCATCCATCCATACGTTTTCCATACCTGTTTGTCCTACAGTGCAAAGCAGGGAATAACCCAGGACTGGGTGCTAACCCATCATACAGCACTCACACCATTCACATCAAGAAACAATTTAGAAAATCCATTTAACCTTGGCATGTTTTTGGACTGTGGGGGGACACCCGACAACCCAGAGGCAGTCTGGCTTCAAATCAAATAAAATACCAGTGTATCATCACAACGTCCATTGTCATTGCCATTCAAAAAAATGTTAACAAAGGTTTGTGCAAAACAGCACCACCCTTAGGTTATTAAAAAGAACTACAGTGAAACAAAACGTTTTCTTTCTCACTCGGCTACGACTTTAATATACGTACTTATCATCACCTTCTATTTGGTAGTTGATTGGATAAAAATGGAATATGATGTTTTTAAACCCACCCAGTGAAGCAGAGCCTCTCCACAGTCTTTCAAATTTTGTGCGCTCTTTTATGTTCTTGACACAAAGATGATTGACACACGTATAACCATTAAGTACATGAGTTCAGCCATTAGGCACGATAAACTCACTTGTCCAGCAACGTTCCTTGTTCGTTTGTGAATGAGGCATTAATTGGTATCAGTCTACGTGAAAGAGCTAATTGTTCTATTTAAAAATAATTTGATTTATAAACAATGTTCTTGTTGATTGCAGCTAATTCCGTTTATATGGTGTTCCAGTGTTTTTATTTTGTAAAAGGAACATGTCAGTGCTGCCATGCAATTATAAATCTTTAGGGAAATGAGAGGATTAGTGTTGCCCATTGTCCCGTATGTTACGCGATGGTCCTGTACTGAAAAATAAAAGGCTGTGTTCCACTTGAATACGGGATGTGATTTGTCCCTGTGATCGTTCTCCAAGCAAATTGCATCATCGTGGACCTGGGGGTGGGGCTCCATTATATCTTCAGATTGAGAGTAGCAACCCTAGTGAGAATTTATAGAACATAACAAATTTACAAACGAGAGGAGGCCATTCAGCCCATCAAGCTTGTTTTGGGAGAACTTATCTAATAGCTCAGAGTTGTTAAAAGCTCTGATTTAAAGGAACCCAGGGTTTAAGCTTGTGCTACACAAGCAGGAAGACTATTCCATACTCCAACTACACACTGTATAAAGAAGTGCTTCCTCAAATTAAGTTTTAAATGTTCTCCCGCTAATTTCCACTTATGGCCACGAGTTCTAGTATTTAAACTAATATTGAAATAGCCATTTGGCTGAACAGCATCCAGACCTGTTAGAATCTTATAGACCTGGATCATGTCCCCCCTTAGTCTCTTTTGCTCAAAGCTAAACACATTCAGCTCAGCTAACCTCTCCTCATAAGACATTCCTCTAAGACCAAGAATCATTCTCGTAGCCCTACGTTGCACCCTTTCCAAGGCAGCAATGTCTTTCTTAAGGTATGGTGACCAAACCTGCACACAATATTCAAGGTGGGGTCTTATTATATAATTTATAATATAATAATATACAAGGAATTATATAATTGTAGCATCGCTTCCCTTGACTTAAACTCCACACACCTAGAGATGTAACCCAACATCCTATTAGCCTTTTTTATTGCTACAATTGGGGGGACATGGAAGCATCAACATACACACCGAGGTCTTTCTCATAACCAGCTACCTTTATTTCAGTGGAACCCATAAAATACCTGTACTTTATATTTCTCCTCCCTGCATGGATTACCTTACATTTATCTATGTTAAATTTCATCTTCCAGGTATCAGCCCAGTCGCTAATTAAATCAAGATCCCTTGTAGCCTCTCTGCTGCAAGATCAGTAACTGCTATACCACCCACCTTGGTGTCGTCTGCAAATTTAATCAGTTTACTGGATTGGTGTGAATATCAATGTTAATTAGGAACAATAGTGGTCCTAAAATTGAACCGTGCGGTACCCCACTGCAGTTTGATCTATAGTTTGAACTGTAGATGTTCTTTCCCGCTACGATGTTCTGGCTGTTGTTGGTGTGTTTAGGTGCACATATAATGCAGAGCAGAACTGTGCAAAAAATATTAAGCTTTATAACCTACTTGTATTTTAATCACGTCACTCAGTTTATGTGGGGCAGCATGGTGGTCCAGTGGTTAGAGCTGTAGCTCCATACTCTTATCAGAATATCTCAGGATCAAATAGCCCGGCTGGCGGAGTGATGATATCTTTAAACTCTTCAGCAAGGCCTTTAACCCCAACTACTCCAGGGGACAGTAGACAGATATCTGACTGCAAGCTTCACCTGTATCTGTGTTCTGTCTCCAATATAATATGTATATTATATAATTACATTAATCATTCATGAGTAAAATACAGTGTTTCCCTTACAATCCATATTTGAATGTGTACAAGACAATTTCGATTGCCACCTTATCGTGGTGGAGAGGTTTACGTGCCTCAGTGACCCTGCGTGCTACGTTGTCAGGGGCAATAACCCCTGGTAGGGTCTCCCAAGGCAAAAAGTTCCCAGGGAAGGGGCCAGAAAAAGAGCAATCCTAATGAACTCTTATGACAAAGAATTCTACCAAGGTCTCGTTTCCCTCACCCAGACTAGGGTCACCGGGGCCCCGCCCTGGAGCCAGGCATGGGGGAGGGGCCCATTGGCGAGTGCCTGGTGACCGGGCCTTTTCCCATGGAGCCCGGCCGGGCCCAGCCTGAAAGAGGCAAGCGGGACTGTCCCCAGGTGGCGGCCAAGGGAGGCCCTGGCAGTCCAATCCCCAGCTGACAAAACTGGCTTTCGGGGATATGGAATGTCACCTCTCTGGTGGGGAAGGAGCCTGAGCTTGTGCGTGAGGTTGAAAGATACTGACTAGATATTGTCGGGCTCACCTCAACGTATAACGTGAGTTCTGGACCCAATCTCCTGCAGAGGGGCTGGACGCTCTTTTCTTCTGGAGTTGTGGCGGGTGAGCAACGCCAGGCTGGGGTAGGGCTATTGGTGGCCCCACGGCTCGGTGCATTAACAATGGAGTTTACCCCGGTGAACGAGAGGGCTGTCTCCCTGATACTTCAGGTCAGGGATAGGTCTCTGACTGTCATCTGCACTTATGCGCCGAATGACAGTTCAGAGTACCCGGCCTTCTTGGACTCCCTTAGTGGTGTGCTGGTTAGTGCGCCACAAGGGGATTGCATCGTTTTTTTGGGGGACATCAACGCTCACGTGAGCAATGACAGTGTGGCCTGGAGGGGGGTGATTGGGAGGAACGGCCTCCCTGATCTGAACTCAAGTGGTGTTCTGTTATTGGACTTCTGTGCAATGCATGGTTTGTCCATAACAAACACCATGTTTGAGCATAAGGGTGTCCATAAGGGCGACCTGTCCATACAGGTCAATGATCGATTTCATAATCGTATCATCTGATCTGCGGCCTACTGTCTTGGACACTCGGGTAAAGAGAGGGGCAGAGCTGTCAACTGATCACCACCTGGTGGTGAGTTGGCTCAGGTGGCAGGGGAGGAAGCCGGTCAGATCAAGACACGCTGGAGGGATTATATCTCTCGGCTGGCCTGGGAACGTCTTGGCATCCCCCCCGAAGAGCTGGTAGAGGTAGCTGGGGAGAGGGAGGTCTGGGTATCTCTCCTGAAGCTGCTACTCCCGCGACCTGAATCCTTGACAAGCGGAAGTTAATGAATGGATGGATGGACAATTTGTATCTGAGATGTTTTCAGGCATATGAGTGGCACTGGTGCCCTTCAGGCCCATGACCATTCAGAGGGAATCACTGGTTGATGGACCTCCCTTTCACACACAACAATGTCCACAGAGACCAAGGGTGCTTAAGTGTGTAAGAGGAAAGAACTCAGAGGCACAGACCTATGCTGGAAGATTTTAATGGTAAATGAAAGGTAAAGGGTAATAGCAGAAAAGGGAATTTAAAAAATAGCTGATTACATAGCACTTGCTAGAAAAGTTTCAGAGGCTCTGGTGGCTGCCTGGTGAATAACTCCATTTGTGGCTAAGGCACAGCTTGAGCTTGGACGGGGGACGTCTCTTGCTCACAGGCCCACAGGAGGATGGGTCACAGCCATAATCTTGAAGAGCCGTGGAGCTGTCTTTATAGCCTTTGTGGGCCCCTTCCAGGAGCTCCTGCAGGCTCTTCTCCTTCTTTGAGATCTTTTTAAGAAACCGCCTTCACCCTCTGGGGACTAGGGGTAGGGAACACACTTTCACTGACTGGGGCATGAACACACATTTCTTCTGTACCGGAACACAAGACCAGGACTATGCAAGAAACATCTCCTGGATGCCCTGGCACGCATTATCAGTGATGTATCCTGGGGTCAACAGGTGTTTCAGGTCTCACAACATCAGACACCCTCGCCCAGGCGACCCAGCCGGGGGTGATCAGGCCCCGACTTGCGTACCAGTAGCTACCAGCCCTCTTGAGCCACAGCCACCTTGTGGCTTTCTCTGCAGCTTCGCTCACAGCCTGGATAGCCCTGCTCTTGGCTGCCCCAGTCACCCCCAGCCAGCCGAGGACTTTGCAGAATGACCGACCTGCAAAGCCCCTGCATCCCACTTCTATGGGCTCAAAGAATGTCCTCCAGCCCCTTCCCCTGCACTCCTGCTCTAGTTCCTGGTACTTAGCGCATCACGGGGAGGGCACACGAGAAGGAGGGCAGGCAGGAGGCGCTGGTAACTCGGGGAGGGCCAGACAAATGGAACGTAACTGCGGGGAGAACAGAGAGTTAGAGCGCTCAGTAGTGGCATGCCAACAATACCTTGCACCGACCTGTTGCCGGTGCGGGGCTCAAATAGGGAGTAGCATCATCTCTGGGCAGGACCAGCTGTTGTTGCCGACGTCAAAAGTGGGCGTGGCCGGGTGGGTGTGACACTTCAAATATCATAATCTTAATTCATGGCAAATAAATTATTTCTTATATATTTGTTTTGTCATTACACTCATCTTTATTTTGATGTACATTGTAAATATGTCAGATTTTTGTTAAGCTTGTAATCTGACATCAAAGTATAGACATTGCAAAATGCTGTTTGGAACACTTGCAGAAACATTACAAAAGTACATAGTAAGCAATGCTGGCAGTTTGTTTTGATCCCAGATATCTGATCACCAGAGTCTTGGCTACATGAAAATGACTAAATGGTGTAGTTGCAACATTCATTTGGATAAATAGATAAGAAAAACCTAACTCATGTCACTATTTCTGGCTCCTTTCATTGAATATGTAGCAACTTTCATGTGTATGAATGAGCCATTGTCACCTGGCCATGTCCCCCACCCCCTGTTTCTGATGTTTCTGGATCGCATTTCACCGTTGCGTTGTTAATCAAATTACCATGCAAATGCCATTTGAATACGTGCTAATGCGGTTATTTAGAATGTGAATAGCGATTCTCGGGTGAGAGCAGTACTACACGCCCCCGATGCAGGTGACATGGTTTACTTTTTTGCTGATTTAACCTAATTTAAAACTTTAATACTTCCGACAACAGATGTTTTGAAAAAAAGACAGATCACGGATTTAGCCAGCGTTTTTTCATGATTCTACATGAAGATTTCAGCGAGATATAAACAGAAATAGATGAGAAAGTCCCCAGAGGGTTAAGGTGCCCTTGATTGGGAAGAGGGGGATTTCTGGTGCTGTAGGCCTCTGATCTCAGGAGGATCACAAACATTTGATAGATCATGATGATTCACATTAATGTAGCATGAAAGCAAAACTAAAAAGGTTTAAGCCACTTACCTGTTCAACAATATTTGCACTGAACTAGTGCGGGGCATGGCCACGGGAGGAGCTGGGTCCAGGGGCGGAGCTTGGACAGGGGCGAGTGCTGGGTCCAGGGGCGGAGCTTGAACAGGGGTGAGTGCTGGGTCTAGGGGCAGAGCTTGGACAGGGGTGATAGCAGGGTCCAGGGGCGGAGATGTGTCCAGGGGCGGAGCTTGGACAGGGGTGAGTGCTGGGTCCAGGGGCGGAGCTTGGACAGGGGTAAGAGCTAGGTCCAGGGGCGGAGGTTGGACAGGGGTGAGTGCTGGGTCTAGGGGCAGAGCTTGGACAGGGGTGATAGCAGGGTCCAGGGGCAGAGATGTGTCCAGGGGCAGAGCTTGGACAGGGGTGGAAACTGGGTTCATGGACAGAGATGGGTCCAGAGATGGTGCTTGTCCATGGTGGAGAGCTGGGCCTAGTTGCACAGTCTGGCCTGAATAATGTCATCGTCCTGGGGGTGGAGCTGGGTCCTGGAGCTGAGAGGGGCCCCGCTGACCCCTGGGTAGTGTACCGTCTTTTGCTCACAGGCCCGCAGGAGGACGAGTCACAGCCATTATCATGAAGGCCTGTGGAGCTGTGAAGCCTCTTCCTCTTTATAGCCTTTGTGGGCTGCAGTCTGGACTGGGACAGTGAGGAATTTCTGTTGACATCCATTGATGTGCTAGGAGGCCCTGGAGGGAGAGGGAGGCAAGAAGAGCAGATGATGGGGGAATGAGAGACCTGGCCCCACATCTCAGATCATGCGAAGCAGCTCCACAGGCTTGGCCTTGCCGCTCTGTTCTTACCTTCCAGGAGCTCCTGCAGGCTCTTCTCCTTCTCTGAGATCTTTTTCTGAAGCCTTCTTAACCTAAGGTGCCCCTGATTGGGAAGAGGGCGATTTTCGCTGGTGTAGGCCTCTGATCTAAGGAGGATCACAAACATTTGGTAGATTATGATGATTCACATTAATGTACCGTATTTTCCGCAGTATAAGGCGCACTAAAAAGCCTTCGATTTTCTTAAAAAATAACAGTGCGCCTTATAATCTAGTGCGCTTTAAACGTGGATTAATTTCTGTTGTGCATACTGAACTCTTGAATGTTTTGAATGTTTTAGTATTGAAAAGTGAGTGAATTGTGTAGTGCTTCACGTGTTATAAATTAACAATTTCAAGAGTTATTATGAATATGCTGACTTTTGATTTAGCGGTATAGGACCGTATTATAAGTGTTCAATTTTGAGTTATTGTTAATACGCTGACTTTTGATTTAACGGTATAAGACTCTTGTTTTTTTACGTGTTAAAGAGTAGTGAAGANGAGATGGGTCCAGAGATGGTGCTTGTCCATGGTGGAGAGCTGGGCCTAGTTGCACAGTCTGGCCTGAATAATGTCATCGTCCTGGGGGTGGAGCTGGGTCCTGGAGCTGAGAGGGGCCCCGCTGACCCCTGGGTAGTGTACCGTCTTTTGCTCACAGGCCCGCAGGAGGACGAGTCACAGCCATTATCATGAAGGCCTGTGGAGCTGTGAAGCCTCTTCCTCTTTATAGCCTTTGTGGGCTGCAGTCTGGACTGGGACAGTGAGGAATTTCTGTTGACATCCATTGATGTGCTAGGAGGCCCTGGAGGGAGAGGGAGGCAAGAAGAGCAGATGATGGGGGAATGAGAGACCTGGCCCCACATCTCAGATCATGCGAAGCAGCTCCACAGGCTTGGCCTTGCCGCTCTGTTCTTACCTTCCAGGAGCTCCTGCAGGCTCTTCTCCTTCTCTGAGATCTTTTTCTGAAGCCTTCTTAACCTAAGGTGCCCCTGATTGGGAAGAGGGCGATTTTCGCTGGTGTAGGCCTCTGATCTAAGGAGGATCACAAACATTTGGTAGATTATGATGATTCACATTAATGTACCGTATTTTCCGCAGTATAAGGCGCACTAAAAAGCCTTCGATTTTCTTAAAAAATAACAGTGCGCCTTATAATCTAGTGCGCTTTAAACGTGGATTAATTTCTGTTGTGCATACTGAACTCTTGAATGTTTTGAATGTTTTAGTATTGAAAAGTGAGTGAATTGTGTAGTGCTTCACGTGTTATAAATTAACAATTTCAAGAGTTATTATGAATACGCTGACTTTTGATTTAGCGGTATAGGACCGTATTATAAGTGTTCAATTTTGAGTTATTGTTAATACGCTGACTTTTGATTTAACGGTATAAGACTCTTGTTTTTTTACGTGTTAAAGAGTAGTGAAGACGCTCATAAACGTTTGAACAATGTTGACAGTCATTGTGAACACGTGATGTAAAATTAATTTTGGTTGACTGGCTTATCTGACTGTTTTGTTTTGCTTAAAGCGCCTTAAAGTCCGGTGCGCCTTGTATGTGGAAAAAGTTTGAAAAGAGACCACTGATTGACGGTGCGCCTTATAATGCAGTGTGCGGTATAGTGCGGAAAATACAGTAGCATGAAAGCAAAACTAAACAGGTTTTAGCCACTTACCTGTTCAGCAAAATTTGCATTTCTGCTGTGTCCTATAAAATTAGGGAAAAAAACATATCAGACAACGTGACAGCCTGAAGACCTATGTGGCATTGAGTGAGGTCTGTGTGACCCGATGCAGGTACCTTCATGGAGTTGATGTCCTCAAGTTTATTAAGTGCTGCCTTCACAGAGCTCAGCAGCTGCTCAGCCTCCTGTTGTCTCTCATGGAATTGTGAGACCTGGGCTGAGTTGTCCAAGCAGAACCTGGAGTGAGCCGTGTCCAGCGTATGCAAAGTCCTTTGCATGTCCTGCACCAGGAGCTCATGCATCTTCTGGTAATGAGCTTTCACCATCTCCCTGGTTTTCTCAAAGCTCTCCTACAACACAAGTGGTTTGAAATATGTCACACAGCCAGAAAGCTGAATTACACTTTGAGATCCCGGAAACTTTGGGGCATCCCAACACACCGACCACTCAATGCTCAGAAAGGTCCCCAGACTCCGAGCGGCAGCTGTCCTACCTCTGCCTGCTGTTTAACTGCTTCTGCAGTATTCAAATTAGCCACCATGGCCTGCATCTGCTCTCCTATCTTTTCTTGATGCTTCAGGAGTTCTTGCTAGAAATAGAGAAAGGAATGGTGTGATGTATGATGGGGACCTCTGTATGCTTCCCACTCTACAAAACAGGAATTCTGTCCTAATGAGCTGACTCACCTTCATATTATCGCGAGGGACCTCCGTGCCGCACAATGCCTGGCCGTAGCTGGGAACACATTTGGCACCTTCTGGTGCTGCTGATGGTATCAGAGCATCCAGAGCCTTAAAACTTGCAACTATGTTGGCCAGTTTTAGGTTTTTTGTAAGACGTGGTTCTGCATAGTACGGCATGTTGCACTCCGGGCAATGAACCACATCTTCGTTTGCAGAAAAAGTCCTGAGGATACACTGGCGGCAGAAATTGTGGCGACAGGAGAGCCGTACAGGGTCCTCATATACTTCCCGACATATGAAGCAAATAAGCTCCTCCCTGAAGCAGTTTACAAAAGTTGCAGCCATATCTGCTTTTTGAATTGATTACACCAATGTCTTCTGGAACGCAAAAGCACAGGTGGGAAAAAGGACAAATCTGAGTCAATCGCGGTCCAGAGCCGAAAGCAGTTGCCTAGACGGTAGCGTCGATTGAA